ATCTTTGGTTATTCAGGTTTTCTCCCGCGTAAGATTGGAAGTATCTAGGCAATGTTTCGATGAAGTCTCATTCATCATCTTCAGACTTCTGTCTTCGGCTCTGTGCTTCTCAGAGTAATGTGAGCTTGCAGCTGCTTCTTCCTTTTAACTGCTAATGTGGGTGTGACTTGATTGGTTGGGGGGTTGGCCGTGTTCTGATTGGCTGGAGGCGTGTTCTGTTCAGGTGGGGGCTTGGTTGTGCTCAGGTTAGTCTTAGTTGCTGGGGGATTTGAGCTGGTGAGCTGTGATCCTGTTTGGCTTCGCATTCGTGGTTGTGCCACATCTTCATGTTGGGCGTCAGTTCGCTTCATCTATGGGTCGGAGGGGTTTGAAGCGGGTAGTGATGCAGCTGTGGTATGGCTTCTGGTCTGTGGTCGTGTCTCATCATCTGTGTGGGTGTGAGTCTGCTTTCTACGTGGAAGTGTGGTGGTAGCATCTTGTGTGGCCCTTGTGGGTGTGGGTCTGGTGTCATTCTTAATGTTAGGTACTCATTCGTTCATGAGGGCGGGTTTCCAAATGGCTGGTAGGCGGGTGGTATCATCTCGTTTATTCATGCTGTGTGGGAGTTTTTCTATCTCTATGGCTTCTCTGATTATTCTGTTGTTGAAGTGTTGAGTTTTGGTGATAGTTCTGGTATTTTTAAAGTCAATCTCATGTCCTGTGGCTTTGAGGTGCTGGACCAGGGAAGAGGTAGGTTCCTCTTTTTTGACTGAGTTCTTGTGTTCTTCAATGCATGCACTAATCTTCTGTTGGTTTGTCCGATGTACGTATTGGGGCAGGCGGTGCATGGGATTTCGTATACTCCTTGGTTTTCTAACTCGATTCTGTCTTTAGGGTTTCTTAGGATGGTGGATATTTTTCTGTTTGTGCAGAATGCTGTCTTAATGTTGTGTTTTTGGAGGATCTTGCTGCTTTTGTCTGTAGTGCCTTTTATATATGGGAGGATGGCTTTGCCGTTCTCTTGTTCTCTGTCTTGGATTTTGGTTGGGGTTTCTTTTTGGATTAGGTGGGTAATCTTCTTTCTTTGGAATCCATTGGCTGTTAGTACGTTAGTGAGACTGTGTAGTTCGGTTTTTAGGTGTTGTTCGTCGGCTAAGCATTTTGTTCTGGAGATGAGTGTCGATGAGGGGCGAGCGCACACACACACTCCCCTCGCCACGAGGCCGCTTCTACCAGCCGATCGAAGTGACTGGTGATTGCACCTGGGGAGCTTCCATCGTCCAAAAGAGACTGCCTAAAGGCGAGGGGACATGGGCAGCCATGCCTCACCCTGAAGCAGCTGGGGACTCTGCCTTCAAGGGAGCTTTCGTCTGCCGATAGGAGCGGCTCCACGGCGAGGGAAATCTGTGTGTGCGCTTGCCCCAAGGTTGCTTCTACCGGCCGATCGAAGTGGCTGGTGAATGCACTTGGGGAGCTTCCATCGCCCAAAAGAGACTGCCTAAAGGTGAGTGGACATGGGCAGCCACGCCACGCCACGCCATCTGAAGCAGCTGGGGACTCTGCCTTTGGGGTGCTTTCGTCGGCTGATAGAAGCAGCCTTGCGGCAAGGTACGTGCGTATGGGCCGCTCTAGGTAGGGGAGGAAATTAAGTCACCCCGAAAAGATGGCTTTGCCATTTTTTCATTGGTCAAAAAAGAAACACACACACACACACACACATACACACACAACAAATTAAAAAACACCTGATTTACATTCAAAATGCTAAATATGGAGTTTGAAACAGCTGCCCTCATCATTCCAAATGTGTGCCGAACTCAAATTTGAAATATCCCAAGCCCTCAATTTTGAGTTCAGCATGCACTGATCCAAGGTCAAAGGAACAAAACTGGCTTTGGGAGGTTATAGTGTTAAGCAGAGCTGAGGAGTGCCCAATTCTTTCCTTTCCTACTCCAGAAATCATCTGACTTGTGGAACAAACTACTATCTGAATAAAGATATCATAGAAGAATGAAGAATGAGTAAGATGTAAATCTAATTAGATACCATGTTAATACTGCAGCTGCCTAGAGGTGTTCATAAAGTTGAAATTTCAAAAATAAAATCTTGCTTTTGAATTCTGTCTTGATGAGAATTCTTTACAATACATGTCTGCAGAGATTATCAGCCATGTAGGTCACAGTTATCCCAAAAGTGCTTTTTCAGGAGGCAACTGGATATTTTTGTTTTTTCTTTTGAAGACATTTCACTTCTCATCCAAGAAACTTCTTCAGCTCTGACAGGATAGTGTGAAATGAGAGTATTTATATTCCTTGCAGACAGCTGGTCATTTGTATCCTTTTAGAGGCACTTGAAAGTTTATCCGTGTCCTCAGGGTAACCTAAGTAGTGCTCCTGGTTCCCGTAGTCTCCAATTTTTTTTCTCTGGAAATCCATTCTTACTCCCACATTATTCTCTACAGACTTTTGGCTATACAACTTGGGATGAATATCCTTGAAATAATGTGGGAGCAGGAATGGTTTTCTAAAGAAGACTACAGGAACCAGGAGCACTACTCAGGTGACCCTGAGGACACAGATAAACTTCCAGATACTTCAACAACCCTCTAAAAAGATGCAAATGACCAACTGAAGAAGCTTCTTGGATGAGAAATGAAACATCTTCAAAAGAAAAAAAAACAAGAAAGTCCCTGAAAAAGCACATATGGGAGTTTACAGTACATGTTTCTAATGAATTTCAAAGCAAAAATGTTCACCTCCTTAGACCAACTAAGGAGAAAAACTGAATTTGGGCGCTGCAAATTTAATCACAAACTTAGAGGAATTTGTGTGAATTTCATTCTTCAAATCTTCCTAGTTTTTGCCAAGGGCCATCACAGGCAAAAATTGCAAGTTCTGGGAAAACAAGTTACATTGCAATTGAATCATGTCATTTCTATGGAAAGTTTGCACAAACCCTTCTTCAAAGAGGCAGCTGATATTTGCTTGGTTTTGTCAAGACACCCTCTGCGTGTATGCAGACGAACTTTCATTCGCATGTAACATATTCTGTAACAATATATTCCTAGTCTGAAATGTGATCCTTTTGAAATATCAGCTTAGAAGAAATAAACCGCCCTGATGGTGATAGAACTTACCTAGTGCAGGCTCTGCACACTCCTTATACTGCTCCGGTGTACAAAATGGAGCATCCCCTGTATATATATATATATAAAAATTGGACCATTTTATTATAAGCTTATAAATGATGGCTTTCTTTCTAAAATGCTTAGGAAAATCATTCTCGGGTTTCAGTCACATAATGGCAAACAAAATTCCCAAGGGAAACATGGCAATTAGAGACCACATGGGTTGTGTTCCAAGGATGAGTATTGCATTTCCTGAATTGTTTTCTTCTCTGTTGACAATGTCACAATAATATAATGGAAGAAGAGGGGTGCACATGACTCTTCTTGTTTTTCCTTTCTTGGAATGATTGGATTCCTAACGATCTACAATTGTTTGGTGAGTTTTCAGTATTAAGATTTGAATTAGGAAAGCATGAAATTCATTCAGTGTGCCTGTGAAACTTAAGCTACCCTGGAGGAGATGTAGGTATGCATGAGCGTGAATATGTTCATGATTGTGTGCAAAATCTTCATGCATCTGTGCAAATGAACAACCAAAATTAACATCTATCTGTGAAATCAAAGACAAAAAGATAACTACATCATCTCCTAAATGCTTATCTAAAATAAATCCCATTAGGCAAATTCATTAGGCTTACTGTGGAAAAATGTTTTTGGTTTGATTTAAAAAAAAATTAAAAACTGGACACTACAGGGACTTCAAGATTACAATTACAGGAGAAGAACATTTAAACTCAATTTAAAATTATAGAACATTGGACATATTGTTTTGTTGTATATTGTGAGAATCACTCGTGAGGTGGGTGGTTATATAAATTAGCTAAAATTTGATAAATTATATGGAATTAGATAATTGGGATAAAATTAGATAAATAAATATTTCTGAATAATGGTCTCGAAAGTTAGATTTTAGACTGTCATTTGCCTCTATGCAGACATTTGCCTCTATGGAGATTGTGTCTAAGAGATGTTATGGAAGAAGAACAAATTCTACTTGACAAGATTGAGGCTGAGAATAAGGAGAAAGATGTTACACTGGACTTAAAAAAAAGCAACCAGCTTATGTGTTAACTAGCTGGATACCCATGCTTTGCTACGAAACTATATGATCTGGCTTAGTTTTGGGGGAGGAAAATAAGGGGAAAAAAATTCTGTCTCTGCCTACCAGCATCCATCGGTGTTTATCTCGCTAGCATCCTGTCAGTGTGTGAGAGAGTTGAGGGCTATTTGGAAACTGAAACAATATTTGCTGTGTGAGCAAGAAGGAGACAGCAAGGAACCTTGGCGTGGCTTATCTGAACTGTTCTGTACTAAACCTGCTCGGTGCTGTGAAACTAAAACTCCTCTTCTCCGCTTGTGGTTTGCATTTGGAACAGATTTCTTTCAGGTGGAGAGGGAGAGTAGAACTCCTTAGCATCAAAGCATGTTAATAATAATATACGAAATACTAATGCTCTGATGGTCATTTCAAAAAATCCTTTCTTAGTGAACACCTAGAAACCAAGAGGAACATATGTGCCAAATTTCAAGTTTGTAGGCTTTATGATTCTGGAGATTTTGTGATGATGCGCGAGTGGTATTTCGCTTTTATATATATATAATTAAAAGGGATATGCAAACTATAAACCAAGAGAGAAACTTGGATAATTTTCCTGTATTGGATTTACAAAGAGTTTTGCTAAAGTTTTTAAGAATCTCATGAGAAAGAAATAATAATGATTCTTTAAAAAATCAAATTCTATGATATTATTTCAATGAACTGAAGATTAAGATTGTTAGACTTAAAAGGAAGGAATATAAAGTTGGTTTATTTGATCAAGATCAAAATATATGCTATTTCTTGTATCCTTTTATGACACCAGGATTAGAAAGACAGTCTTTTATGGTTTTGTTTATAGATAAAAGATGAGATATAGGAAGAGGATATCATTTGTTGTATTTTAAAAGGAGATGATCAGTTACTAAAATTAATTATTGTGATGAGGTAGATAACCACTTATGCATTTCTCTTCCCTCTACTATATTCTTCCTTTTTTATTTCTCTTCCTATTTTCCCTTTTCTGTACCTTCTACTTTTTCTTTTTATTCTTAATTCTTTAGTGTGTATTAGTTTTTGTTGCTGTAATTTATAATCTTTAATAAAGTTACTATTAAAATGAATTCATTAGGGCTTACACTTAAGTGTATAGCCTAAAGCATGCAGGTTTACACAAAAACAGTGCCTCTTTGCCTCTAAAAACAAATAAAACGAAGGCAGGAAAAGATTTGAAATAAAAAATCAAGCACATATTTTGGAAGCTCTGTAATTATTGGATATAAAAGCTCTTTATCTAGCTATAAAGGTTTATTCCAATTACATCAGATTGGAAAACAAACTTCTATTATTAATACACTTGTATTTTGAGGAACATAATTATTAACAGTAGAAACCACCTCTGAGTGATTAAGGTTTGAATTCTTTGTATTGCGCCCTAGAGAGCATCTGACTTAGTTACTGAAAATAGCCTTTATAGTGATAACCTGAATGTAAGTCTTACTAGTTCAAAAAAGAGATTAAAGGATGGATGCAAGCCAAACCACAATTATCTCAAGGGCCATCTATCCTCCAGATAAGTTGGGGAGTTCAAAGATAGTTTCTACATGCATTCTGTGTTCTGGTAGAACTCATTTCAATAGACATACCTGGCATGTGAACCATTTTGCAATTGCAATTCTCTACCACGTAGCGGGTCTCACAACTGATCCTACATGCAGTGATGCTATAGATGGGGAAAAACTCCAGGCCAAAATCTGATGAATGGCACTCACCCCATGGAGGTGGAAGGTATGTCAGCTGTAAGAAAAAAGCAGAGAACTTAATCTACAGGTGGCAAATAATGGTCTTTGTTCCTAACTGTAACAATTCTAAACACTCAGAATTAAGTAAAGGTATGCATTTCAGCATTGCACTGTTGGCAAAATGGTTTAACTTCACCTTCACTTATTCATTCATTTTATTATTCTGACTGTACAATACTGAATTTCTCTGGATGATGTTAAAAAAAATGCAGACAGAAAATAATAGTAAACACACAGATGTTTTAAAAAGCCAATCATAATGATAAAAACAACATAGATAACATGGACCTTTCTTTTCTGGCCACTTCCCCTTATTTGCTATGTGCATGAATAGTGTTTTTAAAACGTTTGGCAATTGTGGACATTCTAAGAAACACCATCCTCTCTGTTTTTGTTATTAGAAGCTTGAGAATTTGAATTTTTGGTGAGAGGGCCATGGCTATGGTTGCATTTGTGTAGATCTGGCTTTCTCCCTTTTAAAATTTTGTTTTTAAATTATGTTTTTTAAATCCCAAATACAAATCTTTTAGTATCATCTGAATTACTTTATAACAAAATTTCTCCAAACTCAAAATTCCCCAACAGAAATCTCTAGGTATTAAGGAACTCAGAGAAAGTTCATTCAGTAAACCTATTTTTATTCTTCCTAACCAAAAAGAAAATTAAAAATAAATGATGTAAAGAGCGTCAGGATTACGCTGACCTGCCAGAAGACTATGCCGGTCTTCAGACACTGAACAGAATAGGATCTAGTTTGGTGTGGGCAAAGGAGCAGGCAAAAGTAAGAGCTTGAGAATGGCTTGGATACAATCAAAGGCACAAACCCTAACTTTCTTAGCACGAGGGTACAGAGCAAAGAGACACTGCGACAAAGATGGCACGTACCGCAGCATGGTGGAAGATGGCTGACAACACCTCCCTCCAATTCAACCTTGAAGAGTTGGGAAAAGAGAGCCCAGATACACGGGTCAAGGCCTACGTGGACGAGCAGTACTCGCTACAAAACGAGCAGCTGGAACTGCCTCAGTTGCCTAGCAGTCTCCTATAACCAGGGAAGCACAGGGATGAATCTCAACCACAGATTCTACACGTCAGTTATGCAACTGACGTTGTACGACCTAAAGTACGAGATTCACTTCCCACCAACAGCAAACCTTCCCCAACTGATATTGTACGTACTAAGGTCTGAGATTCTCTTCCCAACACTAGCATCCCTACTCCAACATCTCATGGCCTGCCAGGTAAGCAAATTAGTCCACTAGTACTCACAATAATTTCTCAACAAGTTTACATGCAACCAATCACAATTGCCACACTCAATCCTCAGGCTAAAGAGTTCTCACCACAACCGCTAAACAACTCTGACGCACAGCATGGAACCTACACCCAACTTCAAAAGGTACTACCTACATATGTACAGGCGGATACCGACCTCTTCATAAAGTACTCTCTGGTGAAACATGTACTGTCCACAACACCTGCCCTTGAGCCAGGACGCCATGCCTACGATGATGTCACACGAAGAGGTGACTTGCCCTCACAGAGAAGTAACAGAGAACCATCACTAAGGTGTGGAATAGCCAGTGGTGTGCACAAATGCAATGACAAGCCAGACAGAGAATACCTACTATGGAAGTCTATTTTTATGAGCACCGCCCAAAGTGAACAGCTGCTTCCCAGTGAAGAACTTAAATTTCTGTTGGCATGGCTAAGACCACAGTCTAACTACATGGTGAAACACATTTACACAGGCTTACTTAATGATCCAGATACCGCTCTAAAACGAGCGTGGGATGCTTTGAACCGGAAATATGGCGAAGACACATTGATAGAATATTCACTCCTAGAATGACTTTATAGTTTCCTGTGTATCCACGAAACCCAGAAATTAGAGGACTTTTCCAACATCCTTATGGAGCTGCGAACAGCCGAAAAATGTTCTGACTTACCAGGACTGGCTTGCCTTGGTCTCTTCATAACACAAGAAGCAATCATCGCCAAATTCCCAAAAGAAATATTAGAACGATGGATTGTTTTATCCAACGCCTTTCTGGCCGCAAACAACAGACGAGACCCATTCTTTGCCTTTCTCCAAGAATTTGTCTCCTGGCAAACAGAGTCCTGCAACAGTTTCAGAAACCTTCTCCTCAGACGCAGAGTTTACCAACCTAACAGAGACCGCTACCACAACTCTGGACCTCTTCAGTCTCTACTGCACATCTCTACAGATCATCACCAAACGTCAACACATAACACAGGAGTTGTGACCTCATCTGTACACAGTGCGGGAGAGACCTCCAGTTTTGTTGTCTGCCTAGCAACGACGTTCCAACGCGAGAAGATAGGTCCCTTAAAACCTGCTTGCTTTGAATACTTCTCCCAATGGAAACCTCTCGTACTGGGAATAACTGTGCTTGTCCACACAGTCGTCTGTCTCCTCGGTCATCAGAAAGGCTTCAATTCATACTTCCCAGACCAATGTACTCATGCTGAGAGACGAATATTGAGAAGTGTACAAGAAGATGCATATCTGTCAGAATATGGATGCCTGAGTGCAGGGAAGCCCATACCATAATCTAGTCCACTTCTGAGACTGAACCCATACCTCGATGACCAGGAGGTACTGCGAGTAGGAGGTCGCCTACACAAAGCAGAAATAGACTCACCAAGCAAGCACCCCATCATCTTTTCAGCTAACCATCATGTAACGAGGCTGTTAGTACAACACCATCACAAACTAATCCATCATCAAGGTCGCCACTTCACAGAAGGTGCCCTCAGAGTGAGTGGACTCTGAATCGTAGGTGCCAAAAGATGTATTTCAACTGTTCTGCAGTCTTGCTTCCATTGTTGCAAGCAATGAGGCCAGACTCTACACCAGGTGATGGCTGACCTACCACCCAAGTGCCTGAAGTCCGAACCAGACCTCGATGTATTTGGCCCTTAGTCTGTGTATGCCCGACAAACCGGGGCTGTCAAGCTAACAGCAAACGATGGACAGTACTCTTCACATACCTCAGTATTCAAGTGCTCCATATCGAAGTCATCGAATCTATGGATGCCCCTTGCTTTATCAACGCCCTGAGAAGGTTTCAAGCCCACAGAGGCCCAGTCAAGGTATTCAGATCTGACAGAACGAACTTTGTAGGCACTTGTAAAGAACTACAAATTGAAGATGGCATTCGCCAACTCGCCACTCAACGGCTACCTTAAAGCCAACAAATGCATATGGATATTTAATCCTCCCCACGCATCTCACATGGGAGGAGCATGGGAATGTATGATTGGAATAGCTTGTCAGATCCTTGATTCAATGCTAAACTGACACATGAGACTCTATCGACCCTTATGGCAGAAGTTGCGGCCACCATAAATGGTTGACCTTTAGTTCCGGTCTCTTCAGACCCTGAGAATCCAACCATTTTCACTCCAGCTGCCTTGCTAACTCAGAAGATGGGTGACTGGCCCACACCATTAGGGAACTTTGATTCTAAGGACTTGTACAAACAACAACGGAGACAAGTTCAACAGCTCGCCAACACCTTTTGGAACTGTTGGAAGCAAGAGTACCTGTCTACCCTACAAGATCGCCGTAAATGGAAGACCAAAGAACTGAACCTTGAAGAGGGAGACCTTGTCTTGCTGAAAGACAAGGATGTACATTGCAACGCGTGGCCTATGGGACTTGTGCATCAACCCCTGCCCAGCTCTGATGAACTAATCCACAAAGTCAAGGTCCTGATAGTGAGGTCGTTACATTTCTCATGTGGCCAGCAGACTTTCACTAAGAAGTTCTATACCAGACCAGTCACCGACCTTGTGCTGCTGTGGAAAAAGCCCGAACTTGATGATTGAACCTCATGCTTTGCTTTGTTTGATGCTTTATTAATGTTTACTGTTTTTCTTAGTTATATAGGTACCTGTTTATCTTAGTTATATAGTTATCTGCTATTCATAGTATTACTGTTTACCGCTTATCTTAGTTTATAGTTAATTTTTTTTCTCTTCTGTTAATAGTGGAATTTACCATTCCAGGAGGGGAGTGTGCTTTCCCAGCCAGTCTATGGGAATTGGATAGTTACTTGGGAATTATGAGCTGTCCCCTTAAGGGAATGCATCATGGTAAATGTAGTTAAAGGGACCTTGGGAAATGTAGTCCATGTCACATGGCCACATCTGTAATCCCGATTGGTCACTAGTTTGACCCTTGATTGGTTGAGGGAGTTTTCCTCATTCTTGCCTGAACTCACGAACTCATGGGAGCTGCTTTCTCTCGCTACGAGATGGGTTAGGAGATAACCATCTTTACTACAAGGCAGATATACAAAGGATTGGTCATTACAGAAGAACTTCATCACTAATATGAGTTATGAGGATACCCAATGAACCAATAAATGTACTTTGTTATGGACGTCTTGTTGAGTTATCTATCTGCATCTGTACAGCTTATAAATCCACCTCTGAAATTATATTTGTGATCAATTTGAAGGGGTCTATCATAATCACCAAAAGTTTTTCAGAAAGTAAAACTTTTGAAAAAGTTATTTATCCAGTTATTTATTTTCATGAAAAATACAACACACTATTAGCAATCTATAAAGTCATAAATGGTAAATATCCAAATCACCAGGGAGACTACCATTAAATTCATCTGAGAAACTCCAGTGGCAGCTCTGCTAATCCATGTAATAGCTATTGAAAGCCAGCATTCTCTGTGGTTGTTCCAGAACTTGAGAAACATTTCTGCTGGGGGTGGGATGGGGTGGGGAGGCAAACACCACTGGTAGCTTTAAAACTAAACTTCTGTTAGCCAATCTGCCTTGCTTTTACATGATTTAAGTATTTTGTTTCAACTATTTTTGTTTTACCTTCTTTTGTATTCTACAATATAAAAAAGAAATTATTGGTAGTGAAATGTGATTCAGGCATAAATATTAACAATAATTTCAGCTGAAGAAATGTGACCATTCTTCCTTAACTTTAAAATCCAGATAG